ATTCTATGATTCCATGATACGTCGCTGTTTTGGTTAAGCAGTGTTATTGTATCCTAAAATCCTGACATATTTTGTATTAATCAGTAATGTGCACATACAAAAGAACAATGATCTTTTCAGATGTTGGCGTTCCAAAGCTCAAACTGTGCACTTCCTTTTGGCAGCATGTTTTGAATTTATAAGATATTGAACCTTTGGGCATTGTACGTCTTTTGCAGACTACAGCACAATGTCCATTATTTCACTCTAACTGGAGAAATGAGTGACACTCCCAACAATGCCCCCCTCCCACACACCATCTCCTAAATGATTTTGGAAATTGATCAAAAACAAAACAAAAATAACATCCCTTTTCCTCAATGGCATGATAACTCGACCACACAGGATGTTTATTTCCCAAATTTATTATCAAATTTATTTATTAACTTCTGGGGGGTGGTGGGAGAGGGAGAAAGAGAGAGAGAAAGAAAGAGAGTGAGAGGGAAAGAGACAGAATGAGAGAAAGAGAAAGAAAGAGAGTGAGAGGGAAAGAGACAGAATGAGAGAAAGAGAGAGAGAGAGAGAGAGAGAGAGAGAGAGAGAGAGAGAGAAGGAACGAAAGAAAGAAAGAATGGACGGACAGAGTCAACGGAGGGAGGAAAAGATGCTGTCAGTCAGAGTGAAGGCACATTCTCATTACATCTCAAAGCAAACGATTTCTGAGCACATACAATTACAAAGGAAGAACAGGAATTGAAATTCAACAATGCACTGCCTGAACCAAACCAAGGTCAGAAATCCACTTATGTGACCAAGGTGGGTTTCTGTAATGTCCCAAGAGACTAGTTTAGATTTGATCCAGAGAAAAGCTGGCGAAGAGTAATTGAAGTAAGTTTCCTAACATTAAGCACACTCCCAGCATCTTTCTCCCAGAGCATGACAAACCAATGAAAATACTGACCCCAAATAATCAGGGGGCAAAATTAGGTTACACATGGGAGGGGAGGGGGTAAGAGGGCAACATTACCCTTAGAATAAGGATTAGCAGCAAATTCATAGAGGGAATTCAAACCATTCAAACTGTGTAATTCCGATTTTCGGGTGGGATGAGGGGAAATGTATGATTGAACATTTTTTTCCACAACAAAGAGGTTTGGTGGGAAATCGCATTGGTCAGAGGAGCAGAGACAAACAAAATGCCCACTTTCAAATCTCTGCCTCTGCTGTGTTTAAACAGTCAAGATGGCAATTGGAGCCCTATAATTGGGTTTGTTGCCCCTTCGGTTAGGAAAAAACAAACTAGCAAATCCCAATATGGTAAACTCTGGTAACGATTTGTATATATGGACATGGGTAACAACAGTATTTGTGATGCTGCCTGGAGTCAAATAATCTGCCAACACACACAATCAAGCCTCACACATAAACAGAGGCTACGACAGGCACAAGGTCACAAAGAGAGGTTTGGATTAAGATGGCCCTTTAGTCCTTTTGATCTCATTCTCCTGAACACCCACCTCCCTACCAACCTCCCATCACTGCACCAAGTCTTGCATCCTGACCGCAACCATCTTTCCTCGCAACCTGTTCCAGGCATTGATCACCCTTTGGGTAAAGAAATACTTCCTGGTGTCTGTCCTTTGCAATTCTAAACCTATGACCTTTTGTTATACAACAACAAAATTACATTTGTATAGCACCCCTCACGTCAGGAGGACGTCCCAAGGCACTGAACAATTAGTGTTTCGGACCCGAGCTGGGTGTCGGGATCGGGGAGGCTGGAGGACAGGGTGAGAGGTAGGGTGACCGAAGGCACAGTCAAAGAGGGGGGTCTTAAGACGGGTTTTGAAGGAGGCAAGGGGGGAGGTGGAGGGACTATGGGATGGAGTTTCAGAGGGCGGGGGCAGAGTGGCTGAAGGTCCGCCCGCCAATGGAGCCTGCCAATGGAGCCAGAGCCTGCTGAGCGGAGGGAACGGGCAGGTTGTTAGGGGGTTAGGAGGTCACAGAGGTAGAGGGGAGCAAGGCCATGGAGGACTTTGAAAGTGAGGACCAAGATCTTGAGCTGTATCCTCTGTGTGATGGGAAGCCAGTGGAGTTGGGCAAGAATGGGGGTGATATGGTCACAGAGCCTGGTGCAGGAGAGGACACAGGCTGCAGAGTTCTGGATAAAGGTACTGTTTTATGTTTACTTTTCCAATCCCATTTAATCTCCTCTGAGACTTCTTTCAAGACTGCAGAACCCCATCTTGTCTACCATTGCTCATAGCTCATTCCTCTAACACTCAGGGCAGCCAAGTTCTGAATCCTCTTAATCAAAAGTTTAAATGAATTCAAGTGTTCACCTTTTCTTTCCTGAAAGACGCTATACAAATGCTCATTCCTTCAACAGGGATCATTCTCTTTACTCTCCTTTGCACTAGCTCTACAGCAATAATAGTCTGTCACAGCTTTGACCAGAACTGGACAGAGTATTCTAGATGTGATCTGAGCAGAGAACCATACAGCTACGATTTCTAACAAGTTGACTGAAGAGTGGGCAATCTGGAAGGATGAGAATAAATGGGCCGAAGGGCCTTCTTCACCTACACCTCTCCTTTGCAACCTCGAGACTCAGAGCAGCTAAATTCTGAATCTTCTTAATCAAAAGTTTAAATGAATTCAATTTCCTGAAAGACGCTATACAAATGTAACTTGTTGTTGATATGCAGAGGGCATAGACAAGACTCTCGATTTATAAAGCACTCCATATATTTGGCAAGAGAACAGAATGTAATTTGGTGAAGGTTTTGGTAAATGATTGCCGATTTACTAAGAATTAAAATGTTTTTATTTGTAGAAGATGAACTACAAATGCAGGTAGTGTCCTGGATGTTAATTTTCAACAGAAAATAAGTGACTGAACCATTTTTGGGAGAGGAAGTCAGTTAACAAGTTAAACTGAAACCTCAAAATTGCTCTGTTATGGATCTGAAGTGATATAGACGGGCAGCTTTTGAAATGAACTTGAATTCTGATGAGAAATCACTTTGAAGGTTTAGAGGACATGAAATCATTCTAAAAGTTTTTTTCAGAAAGAACGTGAAAGCTATTAACCATTTGATGGCAGTTTGGAATTACATTGACACATTCCAGACTGTGGAGAGCTAATATTTACATGCTACCCACTACCGTATTGAGTAAATCATCTCATCCATTAAAAAGCTCTTTCTCAATCACATCTACAAAAGTTAATAATGTGCATTCACATACCGAGTGCTGACTGACACAAGCCAGTGCAAAAGACGGCCCTTGTTTAGTGTATCGTAACGTCTCGTAAATAAGGCACGCGGGAGATGGAAATTTTGACAGGATTTATGAAAAAAAGAAATATTGTGCTCAATATTTCTTTAAAGCTCAACAATTTTATAAATACAAGAACTGTATGACCATAGCAGCTGTGCAAGCAGTGCTTTAAATTGCCTGTTTTATTGCTGTAGAAATTGGTTTGCTTCACTAGCACAGTGATCAGATTGGCAGACAGTGGTCAAACAATTACTAATAACTTAAAATAATCCCTCCTCCACCCCCTGCCCTAAAAAAAATATGGGGCGCTCAATCCACGACTGTTGGTGGGACATTGCTGTGCCCAGTTGGCTGCTGCATTTCACTCCAAAAAGTATAGTCAATCCACTTTACAATACATTCTGTTTTGAGACGTCTGTTATTCTAGCGTTTAGTATATTCTGTTTCTGTGCTTTGAGCCGTCTCAACAGTGTAATAGGGCGCTATATTAAATGCAAGAATTATTATCATTATGATTTCTTTTGCAGATCTTCTTCCTAGTTTCAATTGGCGTTGCAACAGAATACACACAAGATGGAAAGTTATCCTCTCCATAGATAATTATTTGGGGAGGACAAGTTTGCAGGGCTATGGGGAAAGAGCAGGGGAGTGGGATTGATTTGGATAGCTCTTTTCAAAGAGCTGGCACAGGCACGATGGGCTGAATGGCCTCCTTCTGTGCTGTGTAATTCTTTGATAAAGGTTAGGGCTGCTTGTGGGTTCACTGCTTCATATCAGACAGATAGATTGTTGGGGTTTCTCTCAACCACCTTTTCAAAACTCACCCAAGACAAGAAATCCTTTAAGTGGTTAATGTTGGATTTGAACACTATCATTATGAATCCTTCATTTTTAAACTAGCCTCTTCTTTTAACCAGGAAAGTCCATAACCAGAAAACACAAATATAAGACTAGGTAAGACTAAAAAGACCTTCAAAGGACAGTGAGAATGTGGAACTCGATGCCCTGAGTACTGGCTGAATCGGATAGTGCAGATGCATTTAAAAGGAAGCTAGATAAACACGAGGGAGAGTGAGGAATAGGAAGGTATGGGAAGGGGTAAGCAACCCTAAGTGGAGAATAAACACCAGTACGGAGTAGTTGGGCTTAATGGCCTGTTGCTGTGTTGTCTATCGAAATCTATGTAATATATGTAGCCTTTAAAAATTAAATCCAAGGTTAACTACATGAAAGGATTACTCATCTTGGGTGGGTTTTGAAAGGGCATCTGCCTGACATGCTATGAATCAGTGAACCCACAAGCATTCTTATGGATGCAGATAACTTTCCAGCTCACAGCACTCACAGACATGTAAAAGGCAATATATAAGTACAAGATACTGCTGTTGAATGTGGTTAATATTAAATGTGTTAAACCCTTTCTCTTTCACCAACCCCTCAATAAAACCGGTCGATATAACTTCGATATTCAGGCCATGTACATATACGTACAGCTTTATTTATTACTTGACCAAATCTAAAAGTACCATATAAACTATTCCATACCAAAACTTCAGAACATGAGTAAACCTATGTACATTCAATTAAAAATCTACTAAATGTACATAAATAGTATATAATCCTCTGTGTAACTTGCAGTTTGGATCACTGCTTTTGGTGTGCTGTCAAGTACATCCGAATGTTTGTACAGCTGATTGATTCATGAAGTGAGTTACGAAATTACATCTAAAATAACCTACCTGTGATGGTTTTTGTTTTGACAGGGCTGCTGGCATATTCCGAGGCCTGATTCGACTGTTGCATTGCCAAAGGCGTGCTTCCAACAGATATCTCATCATCCCTCTTCCTCGCTGCTGGCATCACTAACTGAACAGCTCCTGCAGGCTGCTGGAAATGGGGAAGGAAGGGGAGAAAAGAAAGATTTACAGAATTCACTGGTATTTATATCGTTTTTTAAAAATATAATATTAATTTAGTCGCTCAATCCACGACTGTTTGTGGGACACTGCTATATGCAAATTAGCTGACGGAATTGCTCAAAAAACACAATTACTACACTTGACATTATATCCTGTGAAGCATTTTGGGACACGCCCCTGATGTGAAAAGCGCTATACCAAATGCAAGGATTGTTGTTATTTTTATCATTTTGGTTGTTATTTAACAAGGTCATTTCCTTTTTATGTACCAGTTGTACAAAAGCTTCCAAGAATTGTGAAGCTTGTCCTGATTCCAGGTTACAGGGTCTATTACCTGACCAAATCTAAAAATACCATATAAACTATTGCATACCAAAACTTCAGAACATGAGTAAACCTATGTACATTCAATTAAAAATCTACTAAATGTATATAAATAGTATATAATCCTCTGAGTAACTGTAGGTCAAACTATTATTTCAAGTACAGTAAATTGGTTAAAATATTCACTCTTATCTCTTTACAAAAGGCAGTGCTGTTCTATTGAAACCGATGTTTTGATACAGATAGGCATTGCAGAGTCAATCTTTTACTGTAACGCAATACACTGCCGTCCAGACTGTGACCAGATTAAGTGGTAAATAAAATGTAATTAATGTACTGTACGTATGCCAGGCAAACTCTGGGTGGGTCCATACTTTTTGGCACAGGCATAAGCAATGCATATGTTTTCATGCACAACATTTGAACGGCCACATTTTCACACATGGACATGTAAGTGAAACGCCAAAAGCTCTAAAGCTCGTATCCAATATCTTTTGTAACTGGTACATATAATGGGACAAATTCTTTATCAAAGCTTCTAAAATGCACTCCAGCAGTATCAATAAAACATTCATATGCTGTAATACATCAAGAATGTTGTCTATCACCAGTGGGATTTTCACAGATTAATAGAAATCTTGCAAACTATTTCTAAGAAACAATTTACTTTGCCGCAATATAAAAAGTGCAAAGTAATTATTTGCAAAAAAGCAGACTGAATACTCAAAAGTATAAAAGAAAAATAAACATTGTCAGAAGTGTCAGATTTGTGGCCAAAATCATTGAAAGAAAAATATTAAACATAAAAGCAACACTCCATTATAAATCGGTCATTCACTTCATGGCTGTTTCTGAGACAATGCTGTGTGCAAATTGGCTAACACATTCACCTACAATAAAACACAGTTATACCACTTTACAGTATATTTTGTGAAGCACTTCGAGACATCTCAACAACGTGATAAGACACTACATCAACCAAAGATTATTATTTAAAGCATTAGATTCATTTAAATCATGAGTAGAAGCCCCTCAGATTATTTCTCAAAGGCTTAAAACATATCAATGGCCATTCAGTTCCACTCATCTATCAAAGAAAAATTACTCTCTGTGCAGCCAGGAATCATGTTTTACTAGGATTCATCTAAAGATGATACAAAAGTGTGCAAGGTTAACTGAGAGTAGCACAAAAGTCTTTTTGACAACCATCTGTTTGAGGAAGAATCACAAGAGAATGACAACTTGCTCAACAATCAAAAGTTGAATTTAATGGCAAGAAATTACAACAATCAGATGCAATATAGTGGATGGAACTGCAGCTTACAAACAAAATGTGTCACAAAATGTTCAGTTAAGCCTTTTGACTGTGTATTTGTAATTCAGGAACCCATTTGCGCATAGCAATAAACAGCTTTGAAATGAATAACCATTTTCATCTGGAAGATTGTTGGTCAGAACGCCAAGAGAAATTCCCTTCTCTTTCCGAGCAGTGCCGTGGAACTTAAATATCCACCTGAACAAGCAGACAGGCCCTCAGTATAAAGTCTCATCTGAAGGAAGGCACCTTAGACAATGCAGCATCAACAACAACTTACATTTGCACAATGCCCTTTACATTAGGGAATGTCTCAGAGCACTTTACAACGCTGTGCTACATAAATGCAAGTTCTTCTCATAATTTGGCTTCAACATTCAGTGCTTTGAGCACAAAGAATTTGTGACTTGCAAATTACAAACATACTAATTGTTTAAACCATACTAACAGTGCCTGGTTTAATCAGAAATACTTTAGATCGGTATTTTGGCTTCATTGAGGATTACAGAACAAGAAACGTGAAGCTAAAATCTGCAGGAAATTAAATACAGAGGTTTCACTCTGTAAAACGTGATCCCTTTGGAGAGTAGAGTATTGTTTTCTCATGATCTCATTACCTGTTGCCCATGTTTTGCATTCCCTTTCTGAGGCTGGTGAAGAAGCCACATGTAGAAGATGGGGTCCACATTGATTGCAATTCCCTGCACACTAGCCAAAAGCACAGCACCTTGAGAGAGAGAGAAAAAAAGAGTTCAAAGTTCAATTGTTTAATTGTGCAAGTTTTTTTTTGTTTCTGAGGAACATATTGCATCATGGTTGTTTTTCCTTAAAATGGAGTGCCATAGCATAGTGATTTGTGCTCTCTCCTCGCAAGCGAGTTTGATTTGAGTTTGTGGAGTCCTGTAGCTCAGTGGTTAGAGCACTCGCTTTGCAAGTGAGAGACCTGAGTTCAATTCCAGGCAGAGGGCGAAACCTTGGGCAAGTTTCCTTACTCCACACAGAGCCTAATAATAATCCCTCCAAAACCAAAAACAAAAATAAATTGGTCATTTTCAATCTACGACTATTTGTGGGACATTGCTGTGCGCAATTGGCTGCCGCGTTCGCCCACAAATATACAGTCAATTCACTTTACAGTGTGTTCTGTGAAGCGCTTTGGGACGTCCTCCCGACATGAAAAGCGCTATATCAAATGCAAGGATTATTATTATTATTATTATTATTCCTGGGCAGGGCGAAATCTTAGGCAAGTTTCCTTACTCCACACGCCTGTTTATCTGGCAGGAAGTAGGAACCCAGTTGTTAGTCGATTGGCGGATCATTTTTCAGAGATAATAATCCCTCAAAAAAANGGACAGATTTATGCATTACAGCTTTGACAAAAATTTGCAGTTCACAGTCAGAGAGTGATTCTTGCCTGTCGGGACAAATCATAATCAAGTCACTACAATACTGAATGGAATTTATTTTGCCTCAATTGTATTTCCCTAGAATCATCTGTCTTTAGGTTTTATTCATATGCCATAAATCACCCACAGAAGCATCACTTTGCAGTATATCCTGTGAAGCCCTTTGAGACATCTCAATAAAGCATTATATCAAATGCAAGGATTTGTATTGTCAATCAAAGTTGTGCTGCTGTGATCCTGCAAGTTGGGAGCACTCACAGACAGTGCCACTAATTGAAGGATTGCAGAACTGGACTGCCGCTCTGAACCCCAATCTCAGCTGCTCTGTGTGAGGATAGAGAGCTCTCACCAACCAGCAGTGATCTTGGCTATGACTCCTTCAAGACCCGTCTCAAGACCCTCCACTTCAACCATGCCTTCAGTCACCCTCCTAACCCGCCCCAACCCGCCCTCCACCCCGCATGATCCCAACCACCAGCTCGGAAGCGGATCTCTGACTGGCCTCCTGACATGAATGGCGCTATACAAATGTTATTTATTGTTGTTATGACCTGATCATACCAAGATAGACGGAGCTACAGAAGGAAAAGAAAAAGGATGCTGTGTGATGTTCCGTCATTGGAAGGTATCACAACCTCAACGGCAGAACTTTGATTTGATACTTGCATAAATCATAGACTGACTCAAAACTGTTTTTTTTTAAATAGCCTTCAAACCACCAATAAAAGTTAGAACAGTGTTTTGTCCTCCATAATTACAATTAATACAATGTGCTTAAATACACAGAAGTTTTGCCACAAATAAAACTACCAAGTTTATACTAACAGGTCTTTATGATTATTAAGATTTAAGATTCTAAAGGGGCAAAATAATATAGATCACGACAGGCTGTTTCAACTTGTCCAGAATAGTAGAACCAGAGGACACAGCCTGCGATCGAAGGGCGGTAAATTCAGAACAAATCTACGCAAACACTATTTCAGTGAGCGAATAGTGAACCTGTGGAACAGGATCCCTGGGGAGACGGTTGAAGCAGGAAGTGTTGATTCTTTGAAGCACAGATTAGTTTCCTTTTAGGAAATAACATTATGGGATATATACATAAGTAGTTTGGGACATAGGTGCATGGGACCAACAGGAAGGTGGAAGGCAAATGAGATGCACCTTGGTCTTTTATCATCTGGCATTTCTTATGTTCTTATTAAAAGCATAGATAAGATTAAATTATATACTGTACACATATAGCCCAGTATTTAGGTAACAGTAAATATGAATGAGTGAGGCATGTTTCAATATAGTCTCTCACAAAAGTGAAGCACCTATGACTCATTGGCATTGTAGGGATGAGGGAATTCTCACAGTATTCATTTCCCACGAATGAAAGAGCTCAAGTGTCATATGTTAAAGAAGCAAAGGCTTTGGTTTTATTCTGTTGGCGAGGGTTTGGACAGTTCGAGCGATAACTCATTTTTAATTTTTTTATTTCAAACAAGCCAAAGTTTGGGCTGCCGAGTATCAAACGCATTGGATCCCAGTGTTTGGATACCGCAGTGTTGCACAGCGCCAGCACTCCGAACATTGGATTACAATCTTCAAACAAGCAAGCATTCGTGCTGCTCCTACCACCAGCATTCACTGCAGCTTCTCTTGATCTATCGACCACTTTGCTGCAAGTCTGCACATATGGCATTGGTGCCACACTGTGCTGGCATTGAGATGTCAGTAACACAATGCCCTGTACCAGCTGCATCAATGTAAAGAAAGGATATGCCCAGGAGATAGCCACCCAATCATCTTGTTTTCACTGGTCACAGCAAAAACCACAGCCAGCATGAAGTCTGCATTTTATCCACTTTTAATAAAACTTTGGCAACGCATGAGATCTTCTTTCAGGATTCTTGTGATTAAATGACCAGATTATACAGCAAAACAGGAAACCAATAAATCCCACTCCGTGGGTGCACTTGAGTACATTTGTACAGAGCTTCACGACATCTCTGTTTACCTAGCAGTAAGCAGGAACCTGGTTGTTGACAATTGGGGGATCGCTTCTCCAGGAATAATAATTCCTTCCAAAAAAAAATAATAATAAATTGGTCACTTCAATCCACGACTGTTTGTGGGACACTGCTATGAGTATTTGGCTGCCACCCACAAAATATAAAGTCAATTCACTTTGCAGTATATTCTGTGAAACAACTTGTGACGTCTCGAAGACTTTGGGACATCTCGAAGCACCGGGATCCAATGCTATATCAAATGCAAGGATTATTCTAGCGCAAGAAAACACTGAATGTGGCTGATGGGCCGACTTCCTGACCCTTCGCACATGTGCAGGAAGCAGGTCAGTCCGTGTAGGAAGTCTAAAGAGTACCTTATCACACGGTCGAGATATCTTGAAACACTTCACAGGATTGACTGGGATGAGTAGTGACTGTGTGTTTGTAAACAAACACGCCAGGCATTTGCACACAGTTCCACATCAAGTCTTTAAGTGAATGACCTATTTAATCTGGGGATTGTTGGCCAGGACACCGGGAAATTCCCTTCTCTTTTCAAAGAGCGCACTTGATTCTTTAACATCCACCTGAACAGGCAGATAGGGTCTCAGTTCAACATCTCATCAAAAGAGGGCATGCTATAAAGCATGTTATAACAACCAGTACACTCTTGATACGAGTTCTATAAAAAAGCATGATGCTTTGACACATTCTAAAAACGTAAGCTATACCCAGGCCATGAAGAATCATTCTCAATGAATGAGAGATAGTTCCGCTGCTACGCAATTGTTGCCAAACACCACAATGAAATATTCAATTAATTTCATGCGTTTGCAATCATTCTATCTGGCACTGGGAGAGAGAAAGAAAACAGAAATTTAAAATCTCTTAAAGGAACTTGCATCGAAAACAGATGGGCTCTCAATGGCAAGACTGATTAATTACACATTGGGAGTATATGATTTCCTATTAATGAGGGAGCTGTAAATGCAGGTTATATTGGAGCCTTTGGAGAATGTTTCATAGTCAATGATATACATTTATGTTACCATTTCTTGATAAGTGTATTCTCTCAGCCACTGATTTCAATGTTAAAAAAAAACAATCGTTACCGTGTAACTAGTAAACACCTTATAATTTGTTGAAAAAGGGGATTTATGAATTTCTAAGTAAATATACAATAAAACCAGCAGTGCCACAGATAATTTATCACCAAATTTGTTAAAGAGCAGCTAATTTGTTTTTTATTAGCGCATGAAGACATCTGAACGTGCTTTGCAGGAACTACTGCCAAACCATATCAATGACAAGCTATGCGGTTTTAGCTGGTTCGACTCCAGCAGTACCCCAACGCACACTCTGGGGTCCCCAAGCCTTTGCTCTTGCCAACCTGCACCTCATACGTTCCATAATTTTGGAAGCAGGATGTGTCCCTCCAGGGAGAGAGAGAGAGAGCGCATTCCATTCCAACAATCTATCTCAGGGATTTCCAAGTATAGGTGGGATGCATCGAATTCTCAGTTTGGTTTGGATACTTTTAAGCACAGTGATGGGTTTCCACATGTGTCAGACATACGGCTGACTAAAAATAAATACTGCCAAACCCTGTGACTGTTTTTTGTCAGCAATCATTTCGGACACAGCAAGGTCCCATAAACAGATTTGAGAAGGTGAAATCAAATGTTATCATCTGGAGGACGGATTGCTGGTCAGGACATCAGCCAGATGGCTACCACCATCACCCTATAATAATTTTTATTATTACAGTGGGTCAAAGATATCAACTTTATTTTTAATTACATGGTATCAGCCCGTGTGTGTGACTGTGACACGAGTTGTGAACGTTGTAATTAACGATCCTTTTTTTCCTCTGCTCACGACCAGATTTATGACGAGCAAGTTAGGATTTAAGAAGAAAATTGGCAAACTGTATTTTAAAAAAGGTCACACTCGAAATGTGCATCAGCCTGGCTCAGTTGTTAACACTCTAATCTGAGTCAGAAAGTTGTGGGTTCAAGCCTCACATCAAGACTTTGAACTGACAGTCCAATGTGGTGCTGAGAGTGTGCTTCATTGTTGGAAGTGTCGACCTTCAGATTAAACGTTAATCGAGGTCCCCGTCTACCTGCTCAAGTAGACATTAAAGGTCCCGTGGCACTATTTTAAAGAGAAGGCAGTTTCTCCCAGTGTCCTGGTCAACAATCCCCAAATAAAATTGGTCACTCACTTCATGGCTGTTTGTCTGACATTGCTGTATGCAAATTGACCGCTGAGTTTATCTGCAAAATATGCAATCACTATACATACAGTATATCCTG